AAGCACACTTAGTACATATCTTAGTACATATTTGTTCCAATCAGTGTTTGGGGGCCAGCAGGGATATTCTTGGACCCTTCATTTTTTTTTTTTTTTTTTTTTTTGTTGGGAGTTTGAACCCTGTTTGAACTGAGGGCTTTGCACTTGCAAAGCAGGTGCTTACAAAGCAGGTGCTTATTGCTTGAGCCACATCTCTGGTCCATTTTGCTCTGGTTATTTTGGAAATGAAGTCTCATGAACTATTTGCCTGGGTTAGCCTCGAATTGCAATCCTCTCCATGTCAGCCTCCCAAGTAGTGAGGATTACAGGCGTGAGTCACTGGGCCTGACCACCCTTCATCTTTCTGTTTACATATACCTTCAAGCAATGACAAGCATTTATCAATTACTACAATTATCAATTGTAATTAACAATTATCAATTACTACAAAACAAATTACTCTAGAACCTAGTGAATTAAAACAATAAACCTTTGTTATTTTGCACACATTTTTGTGGCTTCAGTATGGGATTCTGGTTCAGTCTCTTAGGAGGTCACATTCACAGTGCCAGCCAAGGATGTAGTCATCTGACACTAAGCTGGGGTTGCAGAATCTCCTCTCAAGGCAGTCCAGTCAGAGGCATGAAAAGTTCATCCTGCTGTTGGCAGGAGACTGGTTCCTTGCCATGTGGACTGCTTGCCGTGAGGGTGCTTGAGTGGCCTCATGACAGACAATGATAAGTTTTCTCCAGAGGGAATGATCTAAGCCAGGAGAAAGCCACAGTACCTTTTATGAGCCTGCAGTGGTTTGAGTCTGGTTTGTCCCCTCTAAACTCATGGTGCAATTTGATCCTGATGGAATGGTATTGAGAGGTGTCTCAGTACCTTCAGGAGCTGTCTGTCTTCATGGGATTAATGCCCTTTTGGCTCTGTGTTAATCCTCCAGAGAGTGAGTGAACGCTCACGCGTGTGGGACTGTATTAGTTACCGGGAGCATGGGTTCTTACAAAGTGAGGGCCCCCCCTCGTGTTTTTGTTGTTGGTGGTGTTGTTTTGGTGGTACTGGGGTTTAAATTCAGTGCCTCACGCTTGTTAGCTAGGTGCTCTACTGCTTTGCCTCTCCGCCAGCCCTTTTTTGTGTTGGGTATTTTTAAGATGGGGCGGGTCTCTTGAGATATTTGTCTGGGCTGGCCTCAAACTGCGGTCTTCCTGATCTCTGCCTCTGGAGTAGCTAGGATTACAGGTGTGAGCCACCGGTGCCCACACTTGTTTGCTTTTCCTGCTGCCTCCCACCATGTTATGACTCAGCATGGGGCCCTCACCAGAAGCTGAGCAGATGCCTTCCCAGCCTCCAGAAGCATGAGCTAAAATAAATCTGTTCTTTTCCGTTTTTTTTTCCAGTGGTTCTGAGGATTGAATTTTGGGCCATGTGTTTGCTAGGCAAGCACTCTACCATTTGAACCACTCCCCTAGCCCTTTTTTCTTTAATTTGTTTTTCATATAGGGTTTCTCACTTTTGCCTGGACTGGTCTCAGACCTCCATCTCTCACCTCCTGACTGGTTGGGATTACAAGTGTACCACACTCAGTCAATTCATTATTGATCAGTGGGCCTCAGGTGTTCTGTTAATGGCAACAGACAATGGATTAAAACAGACTCGGTCTCAGAAGTCACACATCATCGATTCTGTCACAGTTGGTACTTATTAGAAGTGTCTAGCTCACGTTCAAGAGAGAAGAATTAAATTCTCCCTTAGGAAGGAAAAAATGTCAAGGAATTTGTGGCCATATGCTAAACTGCCATACCAAGAAAGAGCTGTGAGAGGGAAGGGTGCTAATTAAATGATAAAGAACAACCCAAGAAACATTTTGAGAGTAAAAATCCACTAAGGGCAAGAACAAATACTAATTAGAAACTGTGAAAGAAACCAGGAATTTAAACTTACCTGGAACCTGAAATCCAGTCTGAATCCTTCTCACAGATGTCCCTGAAGTTCTTGCAATAAAATAACTTCTGAATAAAAGAATTTTTGAGGCCAGGTGGGGTGGCTCATGTTTGTGATCCCAGTTACTCTGGAGGTTAAGATTGGGAGGATTGTGATTCGAGGCCAGTCTGGGCAAAAAGTAGCTGGGCATGGTGACATGTACCCATCATCCTAGCTACAAGCATGGCATAAGTAGGAGAATCTCAGTCCTGGCCAGTCTGAACAAAAGTGCAAGACTAACATCTGAAAAATAACTAAGCCAAAAAGGGTCTGTTTGTGTGACTCAAATGGTAGAGCACTTACCTAGCAAGTGTGAGGCCCTGAGTACAAACCCCAGTACCACCCCCACCAAAAAAAACCCCCCAACTTCTGCGAAAAAGTGTCTATTGCTGGCACTATGACTATTAGATGAAGAATTTGTACCTGGGATAAGCAATTCAGAGAGCGTGTTCAATGTTTTGACTCCTATCCTTCCAAGTTAACTTTTCTTTTGTTAAGCCTTTGAATTGTATAAGTATTGCAATATCTCAACATGACCAAGAGAGTCAAATTCCAGCTCTAGTCTTCACATTTTTTTTCCTTCTTCTGAAGGTTATATTCATCTTTCTATGCTGTCTGAAAGTAAGTTATCATGATCTAATTGCCTAAGAATTTATTTCCAAATAGTTGTTGACAGAGTCTGAAAGTCTCAGAAAGATCAGACAGATATTTCCTCCTTTTCTTAAGAATTTTTTTTATTAAAAGACCTAAGATCCTTTGTGGCACCTGGGATATTCAGTCAATTGCCAAGCATTTCTTGGACAAATGATAAAGAGAAGAAGTTCCCTAGGACTCATATATTAGGGGCAAAACAGAAAACAGATGCAGATAAATAGTACAGTCACAAAGGTGGGAATAAGAGGGGGAATGGGCTGAGACCACAAGCAGCTGTGTGAAATGAGGTGAATTTATTTGGGAAAATGTCCTAGAAAAGATGAACTTGAAGCTGTTCTAAATATTTGGGGTGACTTGGGCAAAGGCTTAGAGAGAAAAGAATGGAGACAATGTTTGGGCCACCAGAGGGATGAGAAGAGGGTGAGCTGGAATGCAATGAGGGATGGGACTGGATGGGGAAGGTCAAGATGGAGAGCAAGATGGATTTGAAGCTAGGGCTGTGGCTCAATGGTAGAAGGCTTGCCTAGCATGCACAAGGCCCTGGGTTCAATCACCAGTACCAGAAAAACAATAACAACAACAAAAGCCCAAAAAAGATGTATTTGAACAAAGCAAGCTGCAAAGAGTCTTGTGGTTGGAAAAAAATCCCTTGCAAAATGAAAAAGATGTTTTCTTTTTTCTTTTTTCAGTATACTGCCTCTCGAATCAAACCAAAGAAGATGAGAAAACCAAGAATCAAAACTAACCCCTTCAGAACCAAAAGAAAATGTTTTTCCAATATATAGAGACTCTTAGAAAGCTAGATCTGATCTACAGACCCTTGTGGGGAGATGTGGGTTTAAGATCTTACCCCACTTTCCAGGGCACCATCTAATTATCATCAAGACTGGAGGTCAGCCCACTCTGTCTGGAGGAAAGGGTAGAAAGAGCCCAGTGAGTGACTGACTGATTGACTAACTGATGTATTGATTGATTAAATAAGTATATAGTGAGTGCCTTTGGATTTGAGAGGCAAACAGGATTAAATATATCATCCACGGGATTGGGAGACAATGGCAGGGAAGACCCCATTTATTCAGCATAAATTTCATCTCTCTCTCTCTCCCCGTCCCCCCTCTTCCTTTCTTCCCTCCCTCCCTGCCTCTCTCCCTCCCTCCTGTGATCCTGCTGTATAAGTGGCAGGCCCAGTGGTAGGTGGCTGGGATACAATAGTGAGTGAAGCGTCATATGGATAATAGTGACAGCAGTCAATTTAAAGCCTGAATGGTTCTTTGCCTGCTTCTTGCTTTTGCTTAGACAAGAGGGAAACTATTTCTTCTGGAACAGAGGGGACAGATGTGTAGCAGGTGAATGGAATCACATTTGCTTTCCAGCTGTTGTACCAGCTGTACCACACCGACAGTCCCACTACCTGTCTCACTCCTGCTCCCACCAATTCAGAAACAAGGTATTTTTATACCCATCTCCTGGTATAACCCAAATGGTGATGGAAGCTCTTTGATGCTGACTTTGGAAGCAAATGCATTTTATTGTCTGAAAACCCACGTCCTAGGTGATACTTCAATAGCAACAGACACGGGCTGTAAACTGCGGCAACAGTTAAGTTGATGAATGGGTCAATTCCTCACTTCAGATGAGGAACCATGGATACCAGGAGGATGACAGACTGACCCAAAGTCATCTGGCCACATAGAGGACAATTTGGCTCTGAATCCAAGTGCTTTCTATTAAGCCAGTTGTGACATAACCCATCCAGCACATGCAGCTTTTAATCTCCCTCATCAAGGGACCCACTGGCCGCGTTCATGGGTGCTCATCATGATGTTTTCTGGGTGGTTGACACTCATCAGCCTCTGACTTCATTTCTTTTTTCCTTTGCAAAACAGCTATTACACAGAGCTAGCATCTCTTTTCCAAAAAGCTAACATGCCAGAGGGGTTTGGAAACTGCCTTGCTATCTGTCAGGATCCAGGTGATTCACAGCAATGAACCAAGGCGCAAAACAAGGATACCCGATTGGATTACCAATTAGCCACTTCCACCTCTGCAGGGTGGTTGGAAAGAAGAGAAAAGGCAGTGTTAAGTTTGGGTAGATACCAAAAGACCTTTATCATCCCATCAAGGCATCAGCGTGGCACACTAGGCCTCTTCCAAGCCATTTCGTTGGAACTCCCATCTCCAGATGCCCTGGCAAGAGGGAACTTGTTACTTGAACATAGGGCTATTGTGTCTGAGCTACAGAGGCACCTCTGTGTCAGTGAGGGGGAGAAACTGGCTGACTTGTGTCTGGTTTTAATGATGTCTCTGCTGTTGGGAAAGTTTGGAAGCTCCAGGTAAAATCTTTCCCTTTGAAAACAAGGCTGACCTGGAATGTGCTAGCTTACCTTCCCCCGATGGAAGCACCTCAGTTCTTGTGGGTCCGGGGAGGGTCAAGCAGGAGTTTTCTCCATCTGGATCCAGCAAGAAGTGTCCCAGTGTGGGATCTCTGGAGTCTTTTTGGAAATAAGCACAAGCAGGGGCAATGTTAGCCCCAGTGCAGATGAGGGAGGCTGAATCTGGACCGGGTCCCCCTAATCCCCAGTGGGCATGTGCCTGTAGATGCTGGTGTGCTCAGGTGCTTGCCAGAGTACAGGGCAAGGTCTTCTCCTGGAATTTCACACAGCAGAGCCATTGTTTAGGCCTTATCAAGGTGGTATGAACAGGGAGGGACTACCATGAACCTATACTGTGACTTTGTGAGAGTTTGGAGAAGGTAGCCCCTCTGGGCACCTCAGGGACAGGGCTTAGCTGGTGAGGCTCCTTCTCCAGATGTGTGCAGCCACCACTCCTGCCTCTGCTTTCCCTCTCCATCGGATGCCTTTGTACAGAACTCAGCACATACAGTCATACCCAGGGCAGCAAACGCTGGGACTGCTTAGTGATTCCAGCTAAAGCCATGGAGGAGAAGAAAGCTGTATTCCCTCACTTACTTACAAACACTGAAGGGGTTTCTATGACTGTTTTTTCCCCCTACTCTAGTCTCACTCACAACAGAACACTTTGGTGACCAGATGTATGAAAGTCTTCCCCACATTAAGCGACTCTCTAGCACACAGCAACAGAGTGTCCTGTAATTCCATTCAATTCTGACATTCTCTGCCTGGTGACAGCAACAGATTCCACAGGTGAAGGGCTCAGTTCTACAAGACTGCCCCCACTTTGTGGCCTTTGCTTTTAACCTATGGGCCATGCCTCCCTCTTTGGATTTGATCCTTTGCTAGGACAGCTCACAGAATTCAGGGAAACACTTAGGTTTACCATTGTGTTATAAAGGATAGAAGATACAGGTGACAAGATGCATAGAACAAGGTCTGGAAGGGGGTGGAGTCTGGGAGCTTCCATGCCCTCTTTGGGCGTGTGACCCTCCTAACACCTTCAACTCAGAATGTTGCATGTGGTTCAGGAGTTTTTACAGTTTCACCTCCACTGTTCCCCTTCCTCTCTTCCTGGAGGTTGGTAGGAGGAGATGAAAGTTCCAAGACTCTAATCACTGGATTACTTGGTCTTTCTAGCAACTGGCTCCATCCTGAGGTTATCTAGGGGCCCTACCTAAGTCACCTTATTAGCATAAACTCAGTTGTTACCAAAGAGGCTTCCTATGAATAAGAAAAGGTGCCCCTATACCTCTGGCAATTCCATGAGCTTTAGCTCTGTGACAGGAACCAGGAACAAAGACCAGATACCTTTCATATTATACCACACTTACTTTTCATATTTCCAAGAGAAAAGAGCCGAGTAGGGCAGGCCACCAGCTGGAGTGGATGCCTAGAGATACACATATACACCCCATAGCACAGCACACTTATGAACACAACCATATGCATAATCATACTTATATATGCACAACACATATATATGCATACTCTCAGAAGACAAGCACGCACACATACACAACACACATGCAGGCATGCGTACCTACACCATGCATCGTGCATGAACAATGGCACACATACACCGAAACACACTCATTCACAGGCTTGAGTGCACTTAAAGACATGAACAGTCACACACTTACACACTCCCAGGTGTGCTCATGCATACAAGCACACACATATACCCACATGGGCATATAATTCACCACCACACACATAGAGATATGTGTATTCTTACACATTCACTTGCACGCATGCACACACTTGAGTCTTCAGGCTACCCTCTTGTCACAGTCATAGCTGTGACAGTCTATTCTGATCAGATCAGATTCTCCCTTTATAAGGGTATCCAAGAGTATATATGTGTGACTACTATGATTTGTCTGGCTATGCCACCTCCAGGATTGCCCTTTGTGCTAACAGGACAGTCCCTCAAGCTTGGTTCATTGACACCAGAATTAGAAGGGCATGGCTCCCACACAGTGTAAAGGGATGGGACTGAAAAAGAAAAGCTCCAAACCTGAGGTGGGACAGAGGGAGGGACAGAGTGAAGGAGGGAAGGAGATAGAGTGGGGAGAGAGAGGGAGAGGGACACAAAGGGGTAGAGGAGAGGATTTTGACCATCTTAGCCTTAGCCTTGAATGGAGAAGTTGCAAACACAGAATGGAGTTAATGATCTAGGTACTTAATGTATGTTTACAAGAATTCAACTATACATGCTCTGAGGACTGAATGAGAGAGGGAGGAACGGGGAGAGAAATGTCGGGGGGAGAGGGGAAGGCTGATTTAAGTACATCCTGGCCCTGAGTGAGCATGAAGGGAAAGATGTCTTCTCCACAGCTCTGAGTTCCCAAGTCCTTTCAAAGTGAGAGCTTCTCACAACCCAGAGTGTGATTTGCTGTGAACAGAGACACCTCTTTCTTTGCACAATCTATCCCCTCACACTTGTCAGCTCCTTCATCTGGTACTCCCTGAGAGGAAGTGGCCCAAGGTTCCAGTGGAGAAAGAGTGTCAACTGGGCTGCACTTCCCTGACCATGGCCTGGCAGACTCCAGCACGGAGCCTCCTAGGGACTTTTTCTTTATGACCAAAGCCCTAGGCAGCTGTTACTGACTGTCCTTGCATCAGTACTTTTGTATAAGCATCTTGGTCCCTCACTGCCAGCTCCTTCAGGGCCAGATCTCTAAGTAGGGCTAAGTCACAGAGGGCGTGGCTGGCCCTACCTCACCCTCCCATAGACATTCAGCATCTGTCCTGGGCTGGAGAATGACTTCCCTGTGAGGATGCTTCCTACTGGCAGGGTCCCCAGGCTTCTTGCTTCCCCCTCCCCTGCAGGTTCTGGCTCAGTGTGGAGTTTGCCTGCTGCATCCAGTGGTGCATCCCCCAGCTCAGAGAGCTGTGTCATCATGCCATGCTGCCAGGGTGGTGAAAGCACCAAATGGCCTGGCAGTGCATGTTGGTGCACAAACCCTCCAAACATGTACTGACTCTTTAGGAATATGCGAGAACGTTAATCCATTGACATCGTCGGAAACACTGCCATTTCCCCTTCTCAATCAATAAGGAATTCACATCATGGCTACTAGGCAGTCCTGGACACGGGCCACAGACAAGCCAATGGGGGGAGAAAGGGGAGGCTTCCGTGTACCCCGGAATGATTACCTTGTTCTGCTGACAGTGCTCTCACGTTTGGGGAACCTGTGGGGCTGTTGCAACCTGATGTCTTGAGGCTGTCCAGGCTCCCCTGGCTCTCTGGACACTTCCTTCCTTTAATGGGGGGTAGAGGATGCGGTGGGGTCACACTCTGGCTCAGGGCTTTGTCATCTTCAAAAGCAAAAGGGGGAAAAAGCATAAGTGAAAAAACTTTTCCTTTCTTTTTTGAGACAGGGTCTTGCTATGTAGCCAGGCAAGCTTGGACCTCAGGATCTGCCTGCCTTAACTTCTGGAGTGCTGGAATTATAAGGGTATACCACTACACCTAGCCTGAGTAGAAAACTTCTGAATCAGCAACAAGGAGGAAGAATCTCTTCTAACTCAGTTGATAGCACCTGGTGTTTAGGATCATGTATTCTACTCATTGTCAACTTTGTCCCTTTTTGCCAGACCTGCTAAGGAGCAGGGAGCAGATATCACTTTGGACAGGATGAAATTACTCTTGACTAGAATAGTGGCCCTTCCTTCGGGGAGTTGCCCAGAAGTGGAAGGAATCTTATGGATGGGAGGCTGAGATGGAAGTGGGCAAGAGAGGCCACAAACTTCTTCCACTCCCAACCTGAACCTTGGACTAGGGAGACCCCAGTTTTAGAGCTCATGGGTACAGATTTCTGCTGACGATGCGATTTTGCTAGAAAAGTCAATGACCACATTCCCTCCTCAAGGTACGTAAGGTACAAAGTACAGCTAGCTGTCCCTCAGTGTCTCTGGGCCATTGGTTCTGGGGTACCCTGAGAATACCCAAACCCTTAGATGCTCAAGTCCCTTCTATTTGGCATGGCATTTGTTTATAACCTACATACGTCCCCTTGCGTGTGTTTTAAATCATCCCCAGCTTATAATACCCAACACAATGTAAATGATTTGCAATCTTTGTTAATACTGTGTTGTTTAGGGAATAATGGCAAAAGTCTGAAAATGTTCACAACTTTTTTTCTAGCACTATTAATTTGCAGATGGTTGGACATCTGTGGATTAGAGCACATGGATTTGGAGAACTGGCTGTACCACTGTCCATGGTAGTCTCAGGGTCACAGCACTGATGATAACCCTCTAGAAAGTACATTCTGCCCTCTATCTCTGGTCTATCTTCTTAAAACCACCAGGGACTTCTTCTCTAGAAAGGTGAAACCCAGGAACCTAAGTTGGCTTCATCTTTCAGAGAGAGTGGCCTTTATTTCACATTCAATACAGCTGTTGCTTTTTTGGGGTTGGAAGCTGCTTTGACTAGTCTCAAAATATCATAGATTGCTTATTTAATTACAAAGGGGAAAATATCCTCACAGTGGGGATATCTGACACTACCTTGAACCAAATAATGAAATTTAACATTACCTATAACAGAACAAACTGACATTTTGTGTGATGCATTGAGAGGGACACAGCAGCACCTATGTGATATTCCTGAAAAAAAAAAATGCTTTATTTGATTCTCATTATGCGGAAACAGAAACGGTAGAATGTGTCTGCTGAGCAAGTGGCCTATGTTCTTCAAAGTGTTGATGTCATGAGCAGCAAGCCTGGAGAAATCTATGTTAAAAGATCCTAAAGAGATGTGACAACTAAATGCAAACCACAGTCCCGAGCTGAATTCTGGAGTGGGAAAAAAAACTATAAAGAGCATTATTGATATAGTTAGAAAAATGTGAATATGGGTTATATGATAGAATAGTGTTACACTAGTGCTACTTTTCTTGAGTGTGGTAACTATTGCAGTCAGGAGGAGAATATTCTTGCTCTTGGGAGATATGTGTTAGTAAGGGATAAAATGTATGAGATCTACAATGCTTAGAGGGTTCAGAAATACAGTAAAATATGAGTGTATGTGAAGATATAAAAGCTGGTTTCATTTCTGTGATAGTAAAGGTGAAATAACCCTGAGCTAAGGACATAAATGGGCCTGTGCAGCCTCTGTGCCTGTGAGACAGCTCCACTTATTAGCTCTCAATATCCTTACACCAGGGATCTCTTTATGAGCAAAGTGCCATGAAAAACTTGCCTCTTTCGCACTCCATATTAAAAAAAAAATTTTTTTTTCTGAGTTAGGGTCTTGCTAAGTTACTCAGGCATCCTTGAACTCACAACCTTCCTTTGGCTCCTTTTCTTTTTTTCTTTTCTTTCCTTTTTTGGGGGTAGGGTGGGACTATCATTTGAACTCAGAGTTTCACATGTGCAAAGCAGGAGCTCTGCCACTTGAGCCACACCTCCAGTTCATTTTGCTCTGGTTATTTTGGAGATGGGTTTATTTGCCTGGGCTGGTCTTGAACCTGGATCGTCCTGATCTCAGCCTCCCAAGTAACTAGGATTGCAGGTGTGAGCCACCAGCTCAGTTTGGCTCCTTTTCTGTAATGCATCTGCTGCTAGGTTGGGTCACATACTGAACTAACTCAAACCAATGAATCAGAGGCTTCTGCATGGCAGGGTGTCAGGGGATGGATAAACTCTAGATGCATAGCCCCTGGTGGGTGGATATGGCAGCTGAGAACAAGTGGATGGCAGGACAAAATGAACAATACTGAAGAGGAAATTTACCCGTGTTGTCATTTATCTTGGTGCTCTGGCTGTGCACCTGATGTGGTGGCCCATAGATGGAAAGCTGCTTTCTTCTTTATTTGCACAGAGTGACCTCTGCCCATATTGGCTTTTTTAAAAAGGAAATTTCAAAGTCTTTAGGAGGGCTGGCAGAGTGACTCAAGTGGTAGAGCACCTGCCTAGCCTAGCAAGCATGAAGCCGTGAGTTCAAACTCCAGTACTATCAAAAAAAAAAAAAAAAAAAGAAAGAAAGAAAGAAAAATAGAAGAAAAGGAAAGTGAAAAAAAAAAAACCCACATTGATTTAAGAGATAAACTAAATAAGCCTCTGCCCTGCTCATCAAAGGAAGTCCTCAAAACCTATATGTGTCAAGAATGTCCTGACCCAGGGGCACTGCAGTGTATAGATAACAACATGACTTGGGGCTAAAAGATCCTATCTCTAATGCTAGCAAGGCCACTCAGAGTTGTGTGACCTCAGACAAGTTACTTAGCTCTCAGGGCTTCTGATTTCTGGTCTATAAAATGAGGATTGGATTATTACCAGGAGCAGCTGAGACAAACTGTGTTAAAAACCAAGAACAGTGCTTGGCACAGAGGGAGAACTCCTCCCAAGTTAATGTACATCCTTCTGCTTCTGGTGCCACTGATCACAGATCACTTAACATTTGCGATCCTGCTATCTTGTACATGCTTTTGGGAAAGGATGCTTGGGTTTACTGAAAATGGATGGCTTTATAAATATGGCCCATTACTTTCAACCTATCTGATACATTTAAATATACATTTAGATACACCCATGTGCATAATTTCAGATGATCACATGATGTTTTGAAAACTTGTATTGGAATCCAATATTAGGTATTCTTAAATGAATAAATACATGTTGATAAACAGATTAGAAATAAAATTTCTTGTTAAAAAACAAGATTAACTCTAGGGCATGCAGGAAAGTTTTAGTGAGTTTGGTGCTATTTTGCATCTGCAAGCCGGAAGTATTATGGGGGGATGGTTAAGTGAGTAAGTGATTTGCGAACTAGACACTAAGTTAGTTGTTCTGAAGGACTTTGGTTAAGGCAGCCTGAACAAAAGCCAACTTTAAGTGGCTAAGGATGAACTAACCTCCCTTTTCTTGGTTGAGGCCCCTGGTATGTTCTGCCTTGCTTCCCTTTTGAGTGAGGTTCCTGTGGGATGCTGGGAGGAGGAAGGAGCTACCTTGAGGTGAGGGTGTGTCACTGCCCATGTCCACTGGAAGATGCACTGTTATCCCCCGTGGCCTTCCAAATGATGCATGCTTCAGGGGAGGCCTCCATAAAGGTGTGGCCTCTTCTTTTTCTGGTTCTGATTCAGGGCGTGGAACACCTAGGAGACAAAGAGAAAGCCAAGCTATAGTAGATAGCTGTTGTTTTTGACAGGTGTCTCTTCTTTTGGAGGACTCACCCCTCCCTTACTCATGCTATGTGAACTGGGTAGAGCTTTGTCCATCCCCTGACTCCATGGGTGGACATGTGACTGAGCCTGGATTATGAGAGGACCTCATTGTTTTAGCCATAATGATTGGGATGCATGATCGAGGCCTGGCCAATCAGAGGCAATTTTGGCACTTTGGCAAGAATTTTTTTAAAGGCATATGCTTTCTGAAGAGGTTAGCATGGAATTGCAGGAGGACATCTTTGTTACCACACAGTGAGAGCCTGCTGGACGGCAAGAGCCAGCAGACCCCAGGGACTTAGCCAGGTGCTGCTGGATGATATTTTCTGGGGTCTGAATCCAGGTGGCCCTGGAGTTAGCTGATCTTTGCATGAGTTAAGACCTGTCTTCCTCCCTCCCTTGACCCCTCCCTTCTTCCCTCTCTCTCTCCCTTCCTTCCTTCCTTCCTTCCTTCTTTCCTTTTTTCCTTCCTTCTTCCCTCCCTCCCTCCTTCCCCTTGTCCCTTCCTCCTTTTTTTTCTACTTATGGCTAAAGTAGGCTTCCAACATTGAGGACCGAAAGAGTACTTGCTGACACGTAAAGAAAGGAAGAACTCAATGAATTCACTTTCTTTGTACCTCATTGCTGTTTTTCACTTAACAATGTGTTGGGAAGCTCTCTGCACATAATAGCTTTAAGAATCTGGCTCATGATGGCTTGGTGGTCTCCCGAACTTCCCTTCAGGGTCATCATGGAAAACAATCAGATTTAACCCACTCTTGTGAATAGTCTTTTCTCTGTATTAAGTATGTCTTTGTGTTTGACATTTTGACATCTGAGGAGATAGTCTCTCCAGGGCCAGCCAGTTCCTAGAGGCAGTAAATGACTTGGCTGTGGGTGTACCTGTCATATGCAAACTAATCAATCCAGAGTCTCTAATCTCTAGCTACTTCCTTTTGTGGAGTACTTATTCTCCTGGGGCACTATCCCCCTGTCCTAATCAACCCAGGGCCAGTGCCAGACAACTACCAGTATTATGGGACAACTCATAATACTGTAGAGCCCACAGAGTTATTTAAACTAGCCAATCCTAAATCTTTCTAGCCTTCTTGCCCTGCCTTGCCCCTTCCTTCTGCCAAAACCACAATAAAGACTCTTGACCACCCCCCAGCCCCCAACCCCCACCTCCTCCAACCCTGGTGCTTCTCCAGGTGGCCCTGCATGACATGGCATGTCCCCTCCTCTTGGAACCATAACAAACTATCTTTTAGTGCAATTGTCTCCTGACCTGTTGGTCTCACCACACCTGAATAATAAAGTCCGATATTTTAAAAACATTGTGTTGTCATTATTGTTTTAAGGAGCTGAATAATTTTTTTTAGAAAAGTAAAATCTAAATACAGTGAAATATACAGATCTTTTGTTTGTCTGCTTGTTTGTTTTTGAGACATGGTCTTATGATGTCGTCCAGACTGGCCTTGAACTCACCATCTTCCTGCCTCTGCTTGCTGAGTGCTGGGGTTATAAGCATGCACCACTTCTGGAAAGTACACACATTTCAAGTGTGCACTTCAATTAGTTTTGACAAATGTATATTTCTACAAAACCAATCAAGATTTAGGCATTTTTATCACTCTAGAAAGTTCTCTTATGCTGCCTTTCAATGAGCAGTCTTTTATATTCAAAGATAGGCATTCCTCTTCATTGGGAGAGTTCCAAACAGCTTTGGGAAGAAATAGCCTCCTGTATGATTCCTAGGAGTCAGAACATCTTAAGAAATTGAGGCAGTTTCTAGAAAACTCAGACCCCCCTCAAAATTGGAGTCACCTTTTGCCTCATACCTTCCAGCGAAGCCCAACGTGCAAGAACCTGTCTTAGGTAAGGGAATTGTAGGATGACTTCAGAAAGTCAGAGTTTCTCATGTGATACTGGGTGAGAGGTCACCCACAACCTCCTCCAAAAAGCCTTCCTGAGCCCCAGTTAGAGTTTATCTCTCCCTAACCCATGCTGTCTTAGAACTTTGATTAGAAATACAAAATCTCTGCCCTGACAAAAATGGTACATATCATCTTTTACATAATAGGCTAATTCAAAATCAGAAAAATGACTCTTTGGACAAACTTTTTATTTTTATTTTTAATAAAATGAAGGTTCAAATACCCAAGAATTGTTTTCTACCTTAGCTGCCAGAAAACAGCTAAATCTAGTGCTTACCCAAAGCAGTAACTTTCTGGGCATAGTAGTACATGTCTATAATCTCAGCACTGAGGAGGCAGAGGCAGAACATGGTGAGTTTGAGGCCAGCATAGGCTACATAATGAGACCCTGTCTCAAAAAACAAATGAACAAGCAAAAGATCTATGAATTTTACTATATGTAGACTTTACTTTTCCAATGTCTGATAATATAAATTTCTCTGGTCCTTTTAACCAACTTTTCTCTTTTCAATTCAATTTTAATTGTCTTGTTTTATATTGTATTTATTCTTTCTGTAAGGTGTCTGAAAATTCTTGCACCTTTACACCACCCGTGCATTGAATTACTTATATGTATGCCTCTCTCCCTTTCCTTCCTTTGCAAGATGCTCGACTTAATGAAGGGCTCAATAGATATTTTAAAAATGGAATTGACCTATTTCTAGATTTTACCCCTTTTTCTTCTTTTGAAAGATTCTCTGAAAAGAATGATCCTTGGGAACTCAAGCATGATATAGGAGTGGCTTGGAATGGCAGGACCCCAAATTTCAGTCCAGGGGATTTACCTCTTCTGCAGGCTTTTTCTTTTGGAGGATGTTGGGTGGGGAAGTGAATCTCCATTGGGATGATGAAGAGCTCTGTTGGGGGTTCACTGGCTTTAAACTGGCATCTCAAGGGATCAAGAACTCTAGGTGGTTCTTCTGAGACAGGAGGTAATTTCAAAGTCTTTGGTGCCTGGAGAAAGTTGAAACACAAAACAACATGGCAGGTATCCAAACCCTGCTGCCTGCAGGGGGCAATGACATTGTATCTCATTGTTTTTCTTGCACCAGCACCTGCTGGTAGAAGCAGATGTGGCCAACTGGGAGCTGGGTACCTGATGTCAGAGGGGCTGTCTCCTAGTCTGGGGGCTTGACATATGCCCCTGTTTCTCTGGCCTCTGATTCCTCTGAGTGTTATCAGCATAGTAAGTTTCTGAGCCTTTGAGAGGATAGAGTCTCTCTGTTGGGATTGACAGGGATTGAAAGGATATACTTGAGATTTCTGTGTACCTATTAATAAAGAGAGATCTCTTTATTGAGAATATATTCCCAGTATTTTGTTATGAGAAAAAGCAAGGCACAAAACATTTGACTGTTCAACTTTTCAGGTAAGAAAGGGCAGAAAATAGGAATATGCATTTGTGTTTGCTTTACCTTACATAACCTGTCTAGGCCTCAATTTCTTCCTCTATAAAATGAGAGCAATTATACTACCTACCTTGTAAAGTTGCGAAGATTAAAGGAGTTAGTATGTAATCACAGCAGTGTTTGGAACTAGGCTTATTTCTATGATTTCGTGTATGTGTGTGGGGTAGTGCAGATCAAACCCAGGGCAAGGACTCAAAGCCTAAACTACACCCCCAGCCTTGGCTGTTTGAGATAGGGTCTTGCTATGTAACTCCAGCTGGCCTTGAACTTGGTATGTAGCCCACATCTCAAACTCATGATCCTTCTGCTCTAACTCTTGAGTGCTGGAATTACAGGCATGAGCCACCATACCTGGCATCTATGATATTTTTTGAAGACTAGACTCTCATTAGAGTTTACTACCCTATATGGCCCCTAGCAGAAAATCCACACTTCTGCAATATGAACATAGATGAAAAAGAATCACTATGTGTCAGACTCAACAACAAAATTGATCCAGTTTTTTTCTGTCCCCCTCAAACACACACACACACACACACACACACACACACACACACTATACATATTTGAGTGCGAGATACAGAAAGGGTAGTAGAGGCTCCTGTTTTCAATTATTCAGATGTTGCTGAAAATTTTACTTTTAGTTTGCAACTTTTAGCTATAAAGTTGGCTCTATGAAATGTATATGGTGCTGAGTTTTGGAGTGTTTGAGTTCACAGGAGGAAAAATAAAAAATATTCTCTTTTTTTTCAGTGCTCAAAAGAAAAAAAATGATCAGAAACACACAAAAGAAACACACAAAATATACATGCTTAGAGTTGATTGAGGAAGGAAATTCTACCCAATTTTTGCAGGGTAATATTTATAATTTTGAAATATTAAGAAAATGATTAACCAAACACATGCACATAGAAGCTTTATGTTCCTGGAGACCTTTCCTGTCCAGCTGCCAGCAGCCCACCAACTGCCTTTTTTTGAATACTGACCTTGTGCATTTTGTTAGACAAGGATTGCATTGAGAAATCTGTGTGGAAACTCAAATTATTTGTGTGAGGTATGGCTGACAAGCCAAGACTTAATTTCTTTATTCTAATTAGAAATTTACACAGACTTTTAATACAGTGGAAAATATTGCTTTCCTCTGTTAAGTAGAATACATGGGTGGAGGAAAGGGACTCCTTTCCTCTGAGCCTGGTTCAGCTCTGGACCTCTCTAAGGGAGAAGATATTCTTGACTTCTGAAGTGAATCAATACATTTGTAAATTTACCCTATATTTTGCAAAGGTAACAACAGAACCTCAATAGAGCAAGCTACTGCTAGAGTAAGTTCTCCAGCATTCTGAGTTTGAAGTGGGTCAGTTGCTTATAGAACCACCACCTCGTAATGGGACAAAGTATTCTGAATGTAAATATACAGGGACTCCTTAGGCCTTTGGTGACCCTGACAGCTCAGGCCTATTTACTCCAGGTTCAGAGGAACCTGGGAAGATAGAGACCCTTCTGGTGAGGATTTCAGAAAGGTTTAGGTCAGCACAGACACAAGAAGTGTGAGAAAATCCTGAACTGACTGAAAACAGCAACTGTCAATGGCACCTAAACCAACTGGGGTGCCCATGACTCCTTCAGGGCCACTTCAGATGTTGGGAATCCTCACAATTAGTTAACATTACAGTAGTTCCCAGGGGGGCATGAGATACTTTCCTAAAAGTGCATCCTCTCTTCTCATCCTTTAGCCAGCCCTATGAGGTCAGCATCATTATCTGACATACAGATAAGGTCACTGTGACTTAGTGGGCGAGTGACCTGTTGATGTTCATAAGCTGCTACAGGACAGAACATTCTGGAACACCTGAATGCTTTTAAACCACCAAAGACCCTTATAGAATTGTAAGGCAGGACCAAATCAGAGACAGCATTCTTTTTTTATTTTTTGGCGGTACCAGGGTTTGAACTCAGGGCCTCATGCTTGCTAGGTGGGTGCTCTATCTCTTGAGCCACTCTGCCAGCCCCAGAAGGCATTCTTGACTTCTGAAAGGAGTTGATACATTTACAAATTTACCCTACACTTTGCAAAGGTGACAAACAAAGAGCCACCGCCACTGGATTCAAAGTCCTCCAGCATTTGAATTTGAAGTGGGTCAAGCTCAAATTCTGTCCTTACTTGTTTATTGAGAACCCCTGCCCTCTAACAGAACAAAGGACTCTGTTGCCTTCAGAGAGAGTGTTGCAATTATGCTTTAAGGCATAATTGGGGGCTGCTGAGATTCCTCAAACCTCATGATTTTCAACATTAAGCTGCTATGACTTTATTCCAGCTCTCCTTGATGAGTTCAGATGCTAGAGGAGCTGGTTCTCTGTTGAGATATTCCTTTGAGTCACCTGTTTCTAGATTGGGATTGAACACACACACCTTTTTTTTCTTTGCTTTCCCAAGGGTGTTTTGCTCTAAGCCAGTGGCAGTTGCTATAGGAGGGAAAAGGCATCTTTCAGCAGGAGGCTCCTGTGACAAGTGGCCACCTCTGGCCTTGTAGGGTTTCATGTTCCCTTGTTTGTCTGTAGAAACAGGTGGAAATGAGAGCTTGTTAGCTGTAGGTGTGAAGATCAGCAGTTGACTTTCAACATCATTTTTGGCTGATGAGAATTAAGTCAGGGAGAGTGCTGGGCACTGGGACTGCCATAGATTTGGGCAAGACAGGATCAGGGGGCCCTAGTCTTATTATCTGCGTTCTGGCTGGCTGGGTCAGGTGATGGAGAGAGTAATAACAATAATAATGAATATGTATTGAGCACTAAATATGGGAAGAGAATTATGCAGTGTTTCACATCTATAAACTCAATCCCCACAAAAGTCTTGTGGGGTTATTATTATCTCCATTCTACAGAGGAGGAACGTGAACCTCAGCAAAATAAATAATTTGCCCAAGATCACAGCTAGTAAGTGGGGGATAATTAGAACCCAGACATTCTGATTAGAGAATTTGTGTGGTTAGGTGATAGGCAAAGAGGAGCGTGATGGAGTCTCATTCCCACATCCAGCTGGAGTCTGGCTGTTATTTTTCTAAGGTGGGTGGCACAAGGAAGTGACATTTGGCACACCTGTATTCTCAAATGAACTCTGAACTAGATTAGGTTTACCCAGATAAATGAGCAAGACATTTGACTTCTTACCACTGAGATCTGCCTTTCTGTTGGGGAAGGTGCCTCCATAGAATGTAATGTGGGATTTGTCACTGAGGAGCCATGAATGACCAATGCGGGCCTGCCCGAGGGCCTTTCTGGAGGTTAGTTGTGTCTTTCCATTGTGGCTTTCCTCTGAAGTGTGTGTACAAAGGTGTTTCTCTACTGATGTGTCCTAGGGAACAGACAGATACACGGTCCTGTAAATAGGCTGTCACAAAGGAACAAAGCAACTTCCTGTAACAGTCAGCCCTTGTGGCTACTTCTGGGTCCAAGGATGAAATTTCTTTTGCAGGCTGGAAAGACAAACAAGGTCATAATAGCAAGCTCTCTAATGCTGTTTATTACCATGGAACATTTTGTTATTGATGATGGAAAGAATGGCATGTAACTATGCCTGACTTGTAGTACTTTCTTGCAAAGAAAAAAATTAAAAATTTTAAAAAATAAAAAATGAATTTAATAATTTCCTTCTTTCCTTCCTTCCTTTCTTCTTCCTTCCCTCTCTCCTTCCCTCCCTCCATTTTCTTCCCTCCCTCCCTCCCTTCCTTCTATTTATTTATTTATTGTTGTGCTGAGGTTTGAACTCAGGGTCTTGTGCTTGCTTGGCAGGTACTCCACCATCCGCACTTCCTTTATTCATTGTAAAATAGCTCTCCTTTCCCCCCTTCCACTGTGTGCTCTTTTTCCCTTTTCTTTTCTCCTTGATATGTGACCTTGTTAGTCAAACAATTTATTCAGGGTGGGAGCAGATACAGTCTGTATTGCTCTGAACAATTGTTACTGCAGCACACACACACACACACACACACACACACTTTAAAGTTTAGAAAACATTTTCACACTTTAACTCATTTAATCCTTGCAGTAACCTTGTGACATATATGTACACAGCTCCATTTTGTACAACAGTTCACTCAGGGTCAAAATCAGTAAGCTTCTTGGACAAGTTTATCACAATTAAGAAGCAGCCTTATCAGACCAAGTCTAAGGCCAAGAGCTCTTGTTTTCTAAACAAGACTCCAGCTGCTTGGATGGGGTAAGGAGCCAGGGAGTTCTGTAACTTGGAAAACCTGGAGTGAAACAGAGTAAGCTAGTGACCTTACCACAGGACTTCTCAAAGCGCTCCATGTCCACACGTACACTGTGACTTTCTGGGAGGAGGATACATATGCAGCATTTCCCAAATGCTTTTGTCTACAGAACTCTTTTTTTTCAAGGAGCATCTGACAGAGCTAGGGTTCCCTAGGTGACAATCTGGGAGAGAGTGATTAAAGGTTCAAAGCACTTCTTCTCTCTGGAGAATCCCAAGAAATGACAAAGGAAGGGAGAAGCCCCTCTGAAGTCAAGAACAGTGATAGAGGGAGAGTCCAACAGAAATGGTACCTCTGTCCGAATTTCATCTTCCTTCCAGGGTTGCTTTCTGAGTGGTGGCAGGTGAGTCCCCTGACTGCTATGGTTCTGGGCTACAGAGTCCTGGTCCACATGTCCACCAGCCCCAGACTGCCCTTTGTCTAGGCCCTGTTGACCTGCAAAGGTGACAGTGAGTCAGCTGGGACTTCAGAAACAGGCCGACTACTGTTGTTGCCTATAAACTGCCTCCCTTCTTGCTTCTCTGAGCAAAAGTGGTTCAGGCCCTTGCTCCTCCTACTCCTTTTTCTCCGTATTTCTGGTAGAGCCTCCACGGAAATGGCAGCTCTTGGGTGGACATATCGCTACCCAAGCGGTCAGGAGACTCAGGGTGGAGGCTTTACTTCGTGGACACCATTTCCTCATCTGTAAAACAGGGAGACTGGTTTCTTGCCCTTGCTTCCTTGCAGAGTTGTCTGGAGTTCAGATAACGATGGAGACAGCCTGCATGAAGTGCAAGGGATCATGGATGACAGTGGCATGACTATGGTGGTATGACCTGCAACCCTGCTCTGTTGTCACTGAGATGTTCAGTCTGAGCCAAGCTCTTGGGGTTCCTGGGGGGGGTCTCCTGGTTGTTCACTTGGGGGAAAACCTCAGCTGAATTCAGTGAGGTGGAATTGCAGCTTAGCTCTCTGGATTTACCCTGTGTGCAACCCTCAGAAAGGATCTGAGTCAACAGATGACTCCAGCAGAGTTAACAAATCTTTCATCGATGGTTTAAAGGGTCCTGCAGCTATTTTCATCACTTACTCAAGGTAGATTTATTACTGAAACAGTCTGGCAAAACTTCCTTGTTTGGAGCCAAGTTTTAGCAATACCTCCACTCCCAGCATGCAGCTCTATGGAACAATGTGTGGTTGTCTTTCAACCAGGGGCTCTGGAAGCCTTCAGGGGCTCTGTGTTATGTGGAGCCCTGGACTTCTGGGGAACTCCACCTTCTTCCCCTAGCCAGCCTCACCTTTTCTCCATTCTCCCAACTCTTGCCTGCCTGCATCAGACCCATCCTTGGTGTCTTGGGTCAAGAGTCAAATGCCTATGGGTGGGGCTGCTCCCTCTTTCCAGCTCTCCTTCCTCTGCCATGGCTCCCGAAATTCTCTCTGGTATGAAGAGATGCTGAGAATGTTGATAGATGAGATGCAGGCTAAGGCTCAGGTTCAGACATCTGTCCAGGGTTTAGTAGCTCAGGGAGCCTCATGGGCCTTGGGGATTCGCAATATGAGGTGCCACATTGGCTTACCCCCAAGAAGGCCTCAACTCCATACAGAGTGCAGTACTAAGGACCTTTTGGAGTGTTCTAGAATGATCCTTGGTGTCAAGCCAGACTGTAGGTCTATCCTTCCTGGTCAGATTTACCTGGCACCAGCTACACTTCCAAGGGTAGAGGAAGAGAAACTCCAGCCAAACGACCACTCGCTCAACAGTCTTACATGTCTGAGTGTCTAATTTAGTCAGGGGCATTGTGGGTAGGGGGATACAGAGAGGATATTTCTCTTTGGCCATATCTCAGGGAAACTAAATATATGACTCAATCCATGTGACAGTAAACAAGAATTTTTTTCTCAGTAAATGTCATCATTTGGCTCATGCTTAACAGAAACCAGTTTGCAAGAAAAGTAATGGAAACTCCTATTGTTGAAAGGAGACCAAAAATTAGTTTCTCTGAACCTCAAATATGGATTCATGTAATTCAAATAATGTGTATGAGGGTAGCAATTTGGAGTTTTCAGAGAGCTTTTTAACTCTGTCCTCTCTTGTGACTTTTAATGACCCAGGAAGGCATGTGGATACCATTGCTTGCATTTTACAGATGAGCAAAACTGAGGCAGGGAGCATGAGTGACCAGACCAATATCTTATTGTTGGGAGTTCTGGAGTTTTGGGCCAAGACTTTTTTTATTTCTCCTGATAAAGTATTTGGGAAAAAGAGGGAGGCTAAAGGAAGATGAAGTTAGAAACCAATGAAAGCATCAGTCAGGATCAAGTTACAGCCTCTGAGCTCCTTGTATTCCTTTAAAAGTTGATTTTTCCGGGACCCTGTGATCATGGGCAATTGGGCATTGCAATTAGTAATTATGCTTTAAAAAACAAAAGCTAGGGAGGTCTGTAATTAACATTTATTGAGCACTTACTGTGTGCCAGGTGCTGCATTATATGACTTAACTCCCACATACAGCCCTATGAAATAAAGGTGGTATGGTCATCCCCATTTATAAATGAGGAAGCTGAGGCCCAGAGAGGTCATATGGCATGGAATCTGATGCTAATAGCCACGTGCTTAATTCCTGTTCTATACTGCCTTGCCATTTTCTGCCAGATTGTGACAGCTCCTTGGTAGTAAGAAAAGTCACTGATCCCTTTAGTGTGCAGTGTTAATACCCACCCCACACACATACCACATGGAAGCACTGCAATCCACTCCCCAGTATTTTGGGATCTTAGGACATCAAAGTCTAAGGATATTAACTGGAGACAGTAGGATTTTTGAAGAGAGAGGTCATAAGGCACTGGTAAAATAGCATGGCACCTGGGGAAGGGTAGTGGGTCCCCACAGAGGGGCACTATCTAGATGGGTTCCAGTCCCCAGGACATGAATGGCTCAGAAACTTGATTTCATCAATGTCCTACAATTAAGTAGTCTCTGATTTTGACCCACAGGAGCAAAGTACATACAGACTGATGCTATAGACCAGAGTATTCACTGATAAAGAGAAAGACAATTGACTGACCCAATGTGTTTTATGTAGACAAACTATAAGTGGCCTGAGTTATGCCCAGAATTCCCTGGCTCCAGAGTCAAGACGCAAGAGAGGCATATGATTGGGATGTCTGATAGCTCCAGGCTCTGAGGACCTGCCATGTTCTTTCCTCACTCACTAGTCCAGGTTCTCTGCGTATCCTGACCAGATTCTTTCCCTAAGGACTGGGCTTAGTCTAGTATTGTAATTGTTTCTAGAAAATGTCTTCATGATTTTAGAAAAATTACCTTTGTATTATGTTGGGCTCTTATTCTTTCTTTGTCTTTTCTCAAGAGTTCTGTTACCAGCCAAGGACATATTCTTTCCCCACTGTTGCTACCCAGGTACTTCCCTCCATCCCTTTGACCAAAGAAAACTTCTGGCTCTTTTAATGCTTCATGTTCCCAAGAATAATATTGACAGGAAAAACCCCCATAGTACTGAACAGCTTACAGACAGATCACAATGATTTTTTTTGTACAACAATGAGGTAGATCTTAATGTGCCCATGACAGAAATGAGCAAGCAGAAGCTCAAAGGTTAAGTGACTTGCTCAAGATCTTACATCTAGTAAATGAGAGAACTGTCATGACAATACAGATTTCTAGCTCCAATGCCTGTAATTTTGTTTTTTTTAAATTCACATGTTACTGCCAAAAAAAATCACAGGATTAAAGGATATTAGAGTGGAACAGACTTAAGAAATCATCTGAAATCTAGAATCTAGACCTGTGTGTTCAGTACAGTAGCCCCTGGCCACATGTGGCTATTTACATGTAAATTAACAAAGATTAAACAAATAAGAAACTCTGCTTCATAGCTGTAGTAGTTACATTTCAAGTGCTCACTAGACTTGTGGCTAATGGCTATTATATTGGAGAGAACATAGGCCACATTTCCTTACTTTAGAAAGTATTACTGGACGGTGCTAGTCTAGAATAACCCCCTTATTTTACAGATAAATACAATGAAACCCCGAATGCTGAGATCTTATTTTGGGGAACTCTATTTTAAGGTGTTAAAAATCCAAATATCTGAGAACTGGTCATAAAATGAACATGTACCTTGTTCAAAAGATGTTCCTTGTTGAATCCAAAATGGAGGGAAGACAGGCAAGAGATGGTATTTGCGGGGCACACCTGAAAGATCCTGATGTGGCCTGAGGCTCTTTGGCGCATTAGGTTGGCTGTCTTGGAGCAGTACAGAATCCTTGATGTGTCCTGAAGAATAGGTCAGGAGTTATTGGCAGAAGTGTGGCCACCAATCTAGATTTCTGGAGATACTACAAGTTCCCTCATTTGCACTTATCATGGCTTTGGACAGATATTAAGGAAGGCAATGAGAAAATTAGAAGGATTAAAAAAATCATATCAAGTCCGTGGAGGTTTCTCTATCCAGCATCTTGGGTGCTTTTGCTTATGTGCCACATGTGAGCTTTGTCTCCTTTGCCATTCCCAAGAACTTGGTCTCTGGTGAAAGAAACATGGCTGCTTCCTTGGAACTGGGTGGAAGGCTCATCTTGTCCTAGGAGAAGAGATCTCCTAGGTTTTTCTTTTTCTTTTTTTTCCTTGTGTACGTGTGTGTGGTGTGTGTGTGTGTGTGTGTGTGTGGCAGCACTGGGATTTGAACTCAGGGCCTCACACTTGCTAGCCACTCCACGCTCTACCACTTGAGCCACTCCACCAGCCCAAGAGATGCAATGGTAGTGGGTATATCCTGTTTGCTTCTGCAGGCTCCATGATCAACAGCCTTCTCAATCTAGTCATTTTATAAGTATTTGTCAAGGGCTTACCAACGGGCTCACCCCTGTTCTAGGCAGTAGAGTAGATACAGAGGACCCAGATATGTGCCCTTTTTCTAGCACTCACAGTCTATGGGAGAAAACTCTCCTGTATCAGCTGTGTGGTCCTGAGCATCAGTGTGATTGAACGTCAGAAAATGAGCAGTTCAGTAATGTCTGGAGTTGTCAGAAAAGCCTTTGTAGAAGACATGGGCTCAAAGGGTGGGGAGGATTTATCATTGGCATGGAAAGAAGGGAGCAGAGAATATACTAGTGTCACAAAGCTCATGAGCTCTGAGATGTGAGGAGACAGAATGGCAGGGACGATCGGCCAGAGTGTGGCTTCTTACTAGAGACTCACCACTGTTCCTCCAGCTTGGGGGCTAACCTTGAAGAGGGGCTTTGGTGAGGAGTTATGACAAGGTGCTCACGAATGCAAGGGACATGTGTCTTTTTCAGACCACATATTTAGCCATATGACCTGAGACATTTCTGAAGATGTTGGGCTCCGGCTATGGGACAATGACTTGCTATGCCTTGGCCCAATCCAATGATAAACACATCTTTGGTTAAGAGGAACTTCCTCACAAGTGTTAAATGAATAGGACTATCTGTACCTGTAGGACTGCCATGAAAGTAAAACCAATTACCAGACAAGCCCACGTCATTTTCCTTTAAGTCATCACTTACTAGGGAGAGAGATGTTTTCTCTCCTTTCCCAGGGCAAACCTATAAAGCAAAAAGAAAGCCAGAATTCCTTTGGTCCTGCCTGTTTGTTGGTGCTAAAGAAATGGCAGATGGCAGAGTGGGTACTGGTACATCTTACTGCTCACCTCTTATCCTCTCCAGACTTGCCAAATAAAATATTGGGTGTCCAGTTAAATCTGAATTTCAGATAAACAATGAATGCTTTTTAAAGTAGAAGTCTGTCCCAAACATGGCAAGCTTAACTGTGGGTGTGTTACTTCCAGCAGCTCTCGCCTCCCCATTTTCACATTTAAGTCTTTGCAGAGTGCATTTGGGGTCTCTGTTCTGCAGAAAGGTGTCCATCTCACTCCTACAGGGATTGTGCTAGAGTGCTCCCATCTCTAAGAGAAGCCTTAATATTTTTGTTTACTGGAGGACCTGAGATCACCTCAGAAGGAGAGCGAGAGGTTGTTGGGAAGAATGTGGGGCACTGGGTGTAGGGAGGATCCGGTTTAGACCCTAGGTCTGCTTTTGGCTGAATGACTTTGGATAAATACTTTGCTTCTCTGGGCCTCTTTTTTTCTTCCCTTGTAAACAGTGGGGGTCAAATTGGAGGCCTGTGAATGGAGAAGGTTGGGAAGAAAGTTCTGGCTTGGTGTGGGAGTGTGAGTTGTGATGTGAGAGGGGTGAGGGGGAAGATAAGCCTTCAGACTACCCTTCCCTCTGCACATGTTGGGGGAGGGTAAAAAGGGATCGGCTACCAGGCTCAGGGACTTTGCTTTAATACAAACTTGGGCCTGAAATCCTGGTGTTTCAGGCCTTGATGGAAAACACACCTTCATACCAGAATGAGAGGTAGGGTGCCTGGGGCTCACCCCTCCCACTTCCCCACTGACCTGCACACTGGAGCCTGTATATGCTGTCAGGGGACCACATCCGCAAGAGGCCTCGGAGGTATCTCTTGGCTGAATACCCAGGATGGATCTGCCGTTGGGCCTGGCTCTCTGGCTGGCTTCGGAAGTAGAGGTACGGTTGCCAGGCTCTGTCCGGCTCCTTCTGTGGGATACCAGTCAGGAAACAGCACAGCTGCTGAGCCCCGAGCCTCCCAATGATGCAGGCTGGTTAGCACAATCCTCACTAGTAATCTAGAGAGCCCCAGGAGGTGCCAGAAGGCACCAAAAAACAGATGCCTTGACTAATGCATATAAACCAAGAACCCATGGAGCAAAACCCTGACAGGCCCCTGCAGATTTTCAGTTGGAAGGGGAAGGAGAAATGACAAATACCAGACCCCATCTTGAGACAGAGCATTACAAAAGGATAAAGCCTCAGAAGAAAACACATTATCTTGTTCAGCCTGTGGAAATCATTTCAGTCCTTTCCAAAATGGCCCTGTATGCGATGGGAAAGCCAGGATGGAAGTCAGCCTCGGCACTCAAAATTTCTAATATAAATAATGGGACAGACAAACCATGTCCACATTACAGGGAGCTGGCATATTGAAAATATCTGGCTCTGCTGCATTTCATTTCAGCTAGGGAGAGTTCCTGGGAACCTTCCTGCCAAAGTCAGTTTCATTATGCAAGGCATTGAGGGAAATGGTGAATAGCTTCTTCCACCCGACTAGGGATTTATGTTATACTAAGTACTTCCGCCTGATTGTAATTCAGTAAGGTGGACTGAATTAATATAACATTTAAATGATGCAGAAACTCAGAGAATGATTGGCTAAGCACAAGAATAGTAGACATGTGGCAGTGTGTTGACATCTCTCTTTTCCCCTTGTCCATGGCAGACATCACTAACCAATCATGGCTTTTTGTTTTTGGTGGTTCTGGGGTTAAATTCAGGACCTCATGCTTGCTAGGCAAGTGCTCTACCACTTGAGCCACTCCACCAGCCCTTTGGTTATGTTTTTTTTTCTTTCTCCTTTTATTTTATCATTTCCTTTGGTTATTTTTGAATAGGGTCTTGCATTTTTGCCTGAGTTGGCCTGGACCTTGATCCTCTTATTTACACTTCCTATCTAGCTGGGATGACAGGCATGAGCCACCATACCCAGCTATTGGTTGAGATGAGATCTCATTAACTTTTTGCCTGGGCTGGCCTCAAATTGTAATCCTCCTGATCTCTGCTTGTAGGTAGAGTAGGTAGGATTACAGGCATGTACAGGCCCCAGTCATGACATTTTTTCTTTTTTGGTAGTGGGGTTTGAACTCAGGACCTCACACTTACTAGGTAGGTGCTCTACCACTTGAGCCAGTCTACCTGCCCCCAATCATGGCATTCTTAATTGCTGATTGAACATGATCTCAGAATCCATTCTCTTTAAAATTATTTTAAATTGGGGCATAATTTATATATAATAACATGCAAACAGCTTAGATTTTTAGTTTGATAAAAGTTGGCAATTATATACATCTTTGTAATCATCACAGAAAACAAAATACAGAACATTTTCATCAACCCTGGAAATTCCATCATGCCACTTCTTCCTACCCACCAGATAAACACTTTTCTGACTTCTGAAACCACACACTAGTTTTTTCTGTTCTTTAACTTGATGTTCATGGAAATGTACATTGTATTCATTGAGGCTCCCTGAAAGTAATCCGCAGTGTTCCAGTGAGAATCAGCATGAGAGATGAAATTTACTTACCATTAAATATGAAGCAGTTCCCCAAGGCGATAATGTAGACTGGGAAGATACAGAGTAACTTACCCCATTTTCTAATGCTGTAACAATATCTGAGATTGGGTAATTTCTTACAGTTTTGGGAAGCCCAAGATTGAAGGCCTGCATCTGGTGAGGGCTTTCTTGCTGCTTCATCCCTGGCAGAAGGCAGGCACAAGAGCAAATGCATCTATGCATGCCTGAACACATATAAGAGGTGGGGGTGGGGGCAGGGTACGAATTGAACTCATCCTTTTACGAGGAACCCACTTCCGTGATAACTAACCCAATTTCATGACATTGATCTGTTACCTTGAATCACCTCTTAAAGGTCCCACTTCTTAACACTGTGTTTGGGGATTAGGTTTCAACAGGTGAACTTTGGTGGATGCATTCAAACCAAGCAGGAGGTGAAAGTTCAGCAGTTGCCAGTGGAGTCAGACCAGAATTCAGGGCTTCAAAATCCACATCAGTAATGTACAATGTAAGGCTATTCGGAATTGTACAATGAATCACCCCATACAATGAATATATACTAATAAAAATGGAAAAAAAAATCCACATCAGTGCAAAGCCTCCTGTTTTACAAGTATTTATCATCTCATCAACGGACCAGGACTTAGCACCATGAACCATCTTGATGTCAATACAAGAAAGAAAAAAAAGGTTTTGAAGCAGGTACCTCAGTGAGTGTTCCATTGAGGAAGAATGGTGAAATGGTGAGCCTAGAGTTGTTAGAATTTTGTAAATCCTGACTCAACAGAGTAACACAGTAAGAAACAAAGTATATTATCTCGTATAACAAAAAGACCAAAGTTTAGAGAGTACCAGCGTTGGTTAAATCAAGTTCAATGGCTCCAACATCCTACAGGCACCAAGTTTCTTTCTACCTCTGCAAACAATCTTTCACTTCAGTCTTCCAGGACTGCGGAGCCTGAACTACTGACCTGGGAGGCCTCAAGTGAGTCCACAAAGCACAGCAAAGGAGTGGAAAGGTGAGAACTGATAAAAAAAAAAAAAAAAAAGCCTGGGAAAGTGGCCTGAATTAAGAGCCAGGGTGTCTCAGTTCAAGGCTCATTCTGTCTTGTAGGAATTTCATGATCTTGGGCAAGTCCTGGAGCCTTTTTCAGCCTCTCTCCAAAATGGAGCTAAGAACATGGTAGAGGAAGTGGAAAGTTCATGATGTTTGGCATCAAATAACCCAAGAGAGTCAGATTTCAAAGGGTCTGTCAATCATGGGGGCACATTGTGGGTAAATCAATAACTAAATAAACGAACAGTTTCAATCCCAGCCTCACCATTTCTCAATCGCCTCAGTTACAGAACCTTATCAGTAAGACTCACATGATAACCTACCTTTCGGGTCTTTTTGATGGTGTCAGTGAAATCATGTAAGTTAATTGTGTCTCACTGAGGCTGCTTCTGGCAAGGTGAGAGGGTTTTTCTCCTCACTCCTGTTCTCCATGCCTGCCTACCTTTCGTATGTGAACATGTTTCCAGTCTCCCAATATTGCTGATGGGATGTCCCCTAATGGATCATGAGGAGAGTGCACTGAAGGAGACTGAGCACACCTTTGACATCCAGCCCCACCCTGCTGAGCCTGTGTCCTTAGACAAGTTAACTACTTCTCTGAGGAATTTTGTTGAATGTCTTCAGTGGAAGGATTGGGTGAGCTGAGTTACATAAAGTATGTGCTCTATTCTTCTAGTAGGTGGTCAACAAATATTTGCTCTTTCTTCTTTCCATTGTCTAGGATGTGGGAGGCTATGTTAATTGCACAATGCTTCATCCTCTAGTTTCTTTTTAGTAACAGAACCCCCAATTTTTCATTACAGATCCCCTTTCCAGATACTTGCTTTCCCAGACTTCAGTGCACCTTGGCGTGACCATATGACCCAATCGTAGAGACCCAAGGGGAAGCTCTGGGAGCTTCTGAAGAACCTTGGCTTCCCCAGAAAAGGGACAGCTATGCAGGGGTGACTTGCTGGCCTTCTTCTTTCTGCTTTGACTTGAGCTGTGACCTTTGGAATCAGGGGGCCATTCCACTGAAGGCCTCTTTTGCATACATTGGAACTTCATTTCTAAATCTTTGCTTTAGCTGACTTCTACCTGAGTGCAGCAAGGTTCAGCTCTTCTGAGATGCTGTGACCCCTGTGCACACAGTGCGATGTACTGTTTAACTCTGAACAAGAGCCCCTTGTCTCTTGCTGGTTGGTGTTTCTAAAGCATTGCTTGGTTCTGGAGCTTTCCTGGGCAGTTTGCTAGAGGTCCAGGAGGTACCAAGAAGAGTTAGGGAAGCCCTTGTGAGAATCTGGGCTATTTACATATTTCTTTGCTTAGCATTTGAAAGCTGATCTTCCACTGTATTAATTTCCTATGGCTGCTATAACAACTCACATTTAGAGGTTAAAATGGTGCAAATGTATTATCTTACTGTTCCAGCAGTTAGAAGGTTGAAAGGAGTCTCACTGGGCTAAGATCAAGGTGTCCACAGGTCTTTGTTCCTGCTGGAAGCTCTGGGGCAGAATTGGATTCCTTGCCTTTTCTAGCTTCTAAAGGCCCCTGCATTCCTTGACTTGTGTCTCCCTCCTCAAAGTCAGCAACATTGGGCTGAGTCCTTCTTGTGCCACTATCTCTCTGGTTCTTCCTTTTGATTCCTTTTCCCACTTTGAAGAATATTTGTGATTACATTGGCTGCACCCAGACAATCTAAAATAATCTTCCCATTTTAAGGACATCTGGCCTCATGAGCTTGCACTTATCTATAATCTTAGTACTCAGGAGGCAGAGACAGGAGGCTTAAGAGTTGAAGGCCAGCCTGTGCTACATAGCAAGACCCTACTTCAAAAAACAAAAACAAAAAATGAAAAAAAAACCAAGGGCTGGGAATATAACTCAGGGGTAGAGCATTTGCTTAGTGTGTGCAAGGCCCTGTTCAATCCCCAGCACTGGGCGGAGGGGGTGAAAGGACATTTGATTAGCAACTGGAATGTGTGCAGGGGGAGGACACATATACATTATTTTGCCTACTACAACCTCTTTAGATTGTTTCCTAATTTCTCTTGGTAATCTCTCAAGTGACACCTGTGAAGCTGGTTGATAATGTCATATCTTGTTGAATGATTTCAAGCACTCATGGAAGTCCAGATCTACCAAAGAGACCAATCAGGGTGAAATCTATTTGCCTGTTTCCAATGTCCTGAATATTTTAAGTAGAAACAACAAGATACAAGAGACCATGTATAGAATAATTACAACTTCACAAAAATATACCTTATGTATGTAGAGTTATGGTGGAGAGAGTGGAAAAAAGCAATTAAAATGCTAATAATGGCAATAGTAGGCTGCAGAGCCTACGATTACAGATAACTTTTTAAATAA